CACCCACAGGCGTAACAACACTATAACACATGCCTCGTTACACAGCTCCGTTACGTCACTACCATGCTGTGTTACCTGTAGTAATGAGGGTTACAGATACAGGTGGATTAGGTAAGGTGGATACATAATAAGGGATTAGGTTAGGTTACAGCGGCCAGTTGAACACACACACACACACACACACACACACACACACACACACACACACACACACACACACACACACACACACACACACACACACACACACACACACACATACACAACCCCTTCAACAATAAGCAAATAAACTCGTAAACAAACAAACAAACAAAAAAAGAGTTGTACTTACCTTGTGTCTGGCAGGTGTGTGTGACAGTGTGTGTGTGTGTAAGAGAGAGAGTCCTCAACCTAACATACCAGACGGAGGAACCAAGCCACTGCAAGGAATAAAACAGTTTCCCCCGGACTCACAGAAAACAAGATTGAATGATTAACTAATGTATTTATCTCCGTGTGTGTGTGTGTGTGTGTGTGTGTGTGTGTGTGTGTGTGTGGTTGTGTGTGGGTGTGTGTGTGTGTGAAGTTGGTTATTTAAGATGTTATTGACACATGGTGATTTGCCCTGCACCACTGTTCTGGTATACGAACCACACTTCACTGTTGACACTGAGTAATCATTTTTCAAGGATCTTTTATATAAACAATATATATCACCCGATGTCTTCTTATTTCTATCTAAAATATCCGATTTATTTTCAGAGTATAAAAAATATGAAAGCTTTTTTTGGGGTGGAGTGAGATTCAAAAACAAAATCCGAGAGAATACATCTCATTTTAGGTTCCAGAGGAGGGGGAGGAGGGGGAGAGGGAGAAGGAGGGCGGCAGCGGTTGGAGGATGGGGGTACAAGGAGGAGGAGGAGGAAGAGAGGCTGCCAGCCTACAACAAAAGCCTTACAAAACGGCTCAAGTTTTATATTTCTCCTTCTCCCTTTCTCTCTATCTTCCTCTCTCTTTATCTCCCCCTCTCTCTATCTCCCCTCTCTCTATCTCCCCCTTTCTCTATCTCCCCCTCTCTCTATCTCCCTCTCTATCTCCCCCTCTCTCTCCTCTCTCTCCATCTCCCTCTCCCTCTCTCTCTATCTCCCCCTCCTATCTCCCTCTCTCTCCATCTCCCCTCTATCTCCCTCTCTATATCTCCCCTCTCTCTCTATATCTTCTCTTACCTCCCCTGTCTCTATCTCCCTCTCTATATCTCCCTCTCTCTATATCTCCCTCTCTCTATATCTCTCTCTCTCTACCTCCCTCTCTATATCTCTCCTCCCTACTGCACCAAGAATCATTACAGAGAAGGAATGTCTCTTCCGTTGCCTTGCAGAGGTCCGCGTGCTTGCTTGGGGTAGTGATGGTGGGGATGGGCCAGGCAGGGGGATGTCTGTGTGTCGGCAGGAGCCCCCCGGTGTCTGTCAGCCAGGACAGCGTGTACTGGGCCAGGCAACAAGCGAACCATTCAGGTCTTCAGCAAGGAGAAAAGCAATTTTCTACGTTTTGCTCCCAAACTGGCGGAGTCCTGCAGGAGGATCCTTAAAGATGCACTGTGCAGCTGTGCGGGCGGGCGGGCGGGCGGGCGGGCGGCAATGTGCAGCTGTGTGAGCGGGCGTGTGGGTGGCCAGCAGTATGCAGCTGTGGGGGCGGGCGGCATCATCGTCGCCTCTACCAACATACACAAACTACTAAACTCGTGAGTTTTACAAATGGAAAACAAAAGCGTGTGTGTGTGTGTGTGTGTGTGTATGTGTGTGTGTGTGTGTGTGTGTAACGCAGGCGGAGGAAAAGCGCGCGCGCGCGCTCTTTTTTTTCCCGTGTACACAAGTCTTTCAACCCAGAAGAAAGGGAGTGTATGTCTGCGTTGTGAGAGGGCAGGCAAGGTGCGAGTGTAGCGTCGGCATTAAACCGTGCAGAGAGGGGGTGGAAAGCCAATATAAAGAGCCAGGGAGGTGCGTGGGGGGGGTGGGGGGAGGTGGGTGGTAAGACAAGATAGAGTAGTGGTGGAGGGTGACAGGTGGGTGGAGGGGGCAGCAGCAACCACAGTGCACCAGCTGGGCCCACCACAGCGGTCTAGGGAGGCCAAAAACAGCAGGTATTTGGTGCGACAGGAAAGTGCTGGTGGAGGGAGGAGGGGAGGAGGAGGAGGAGGGATGGTGATGTGACAGCAATAAGTGGAGGTGGGCGTGGTGGTGGTGGGCGTGGTGGTGGGCGTGCTGGCCAACTCCCTCATCATCATCATAAGTACTGCAAAATACCTCATTCTTCTGGTGTAAGGGGAACTTGGGCCCCCTCTTCTTGTTCCAGCCAAAGGTAGTGTCGAAGCAGCTGCAGCACGAGTCACACGCCAAAGGGTCCCTGTCAGCCTCTGAGAGCCAGGGGTCGTGGGCGTTGCTGAGGAAGTTCTCCAGCCCGGTGGACAACCTCTGCATCCACCGCGGTTTTTCCTTGATCGGTGGTTCATGACCGCTGGCGTCTACCGCGGCCAACCATGCGCGAGTTGGCGGGAGGAGCAACGGGCGGAGGAGGGGAGGGAAGGAGGGAAGCCACAGGTTAGTAAGAGGTCAGATTAGGTCAAAGACAGGAGGGTAACACTTATAGGGGTTAGTGGAATGAGGTCAGCCACTAGTATGAGGCCCCAGTTACTAGTATGAGGCCTCAATTACTAGCATGAGGCCCCAGTTACTCGTATGAGGCCCCAATTACTAGCAAGAGGCCCCAATTACAAGCATGAGGCCCCAATTACAAGCATGAGGCCCCATTACTAGCATGAGGCCCTCATTACAAGCATGAGGCCCCAATTACTAGCATGAGGCCCCAGTTACTAGCATAAGGCCCCAATTACAAGCATGAGGCCCCAATTACTAGCATGAGGCCCCAGTTTCTAGCATGAAGCCCCAGTTACTAGCATGAGGCCCCAGTTACTAGTATGACGCCACTAAAAAGGATTCGTAATTGAAAGGTCACATAAAAAGGGTCAAAAGATTAGGATGGAACAAGAAATCATACAAAAAGTAATTAGCAAAAATATGAAAAAGGTGAGAGATGAGGTCAGGTCAGGTCAGGTCAAGGTGTTACACTACTAGTAAGAGTGAGACGAAACAGACTTAAAAGGTCAAGAAGGGTCAACGTAAGAGGCTACATAAACAGGTTAAGTTAAATAGGTCCGGCAAGGAAGAAGGTACAATATAGAAAATGGGAAACTGGATACAATAAAGAAAAAAAAACAAAGGGAACAGAAAGTAAGAACAGACTACAGAAAATGGGATAAAGTTGGAGGTACACTATAGAAAACGGGAAACGGGATACAATACAGAAAACGGGGAGGACAGGAAGTAAGAACACACACTATAATCAACAACACGGCCTCTACTGAAAAGCAAAACACTATTAAGGTATTTTGGCAGGAAGGGAAAAAAGTAGTAATCATAATTTGGGGCAAAAAACCTACAAACTTTTACCTCAAATTATATAAACACCATCAATTCATGTTTACTTTCAAAGTCTAAAATGTCAAAGTAAGTTTTTTTTTATTTTCTAAGTGAGTTTCAAACACCTATTGTAAACCTAATTCTAAAAAAAAAAACTCGGAATTAGATGCTCCACAAAAACCAAGCACGGTGATTTATTAATTAAACCAGTTTTGGTCTGGGAAATACTACAAATCTAAACCCAAAATCCTAGCAAGGCGCAGTTATAATTAAACCAGTTATATCGTAGTTATACCTACAAAAACTAAACTTAAAAAAAACCTGGTGATAACAGAAGCAGGCACAGTGATATCTTAAACCAGTTTTATGCTTTTAACCTACAAAATCTAAACCCAAAATCCTGGCAAGGCTATGTGAGTGTTAAATCAGCTTTCTTAGGCTAGGAAACTGTAAAAAACATAACCAACTAAACCTATTTTCCTAGTAATATTGAAGCAGGCAGGATATTGTTAAACCAGAGTCCTTTACCGAGTAGGGAAGAAGAAGAGGAAGGTATACGTCCTGCTCAAACCTTCACATACAGCCTGCCACGGCCTACACAGCCTGCCATGGCCTCCCACAGCCTATATACCACACACCGTTCCTACAGTTTGGCCTGCTCTGTCCTGCACCCACTATACGGCGTGGCCTGTCCAAACACCGACACCTGTTACTTCTACTTAAAAGCCTGCCACTTAACCTGCACTTAACAACCTGCATAACGATGCTACCACTTAAAACATGCCACTTTTATGTACAATAACTACATTTAAGAGACGCTATTACTACCACTTAGTTTATACACGTCTAAAACAGTGACCCTTACTTCGACTAATGTCTAAAACAGTGACCCTTACTTCGACACATGTCTAAAACAGTGACTCTTAATACGACACATGTCTAAAACAGTGACTCTTAATACGACACATGTCTAAAACTGTGACTCTTACTACGACACAAGTCTAAAACAGTGACCCTACTTCGACACATGTCTAAAACACTGACTATCGACACATGTCTAACAGTGACTCTACTTCGACACATGTCTAAACACTGACTATCGACACATGTCTAAAACAGTGACTCTACTTCACACATGTCCAAAAACAGTGACCCTACTTCGACACATGTCAAACACTGACTATGACACATGTCTAAACAGTGACTCTACTTCGACACATGTCTAAAACAGTGACTATCGACACATGTCTAAAACAGTGACTATCGACACATGTCTAAAACAGTGACTCTACATCACACATGTCAAAAACTATCGACACATGTCTAAAACATCTCTCTAAGTGCCTGAATTACCGCCTATCTACCTGTCATTAATTTCCTACAACACCTGAACATTGTATTACTTTATACAACATATTGTATCATGATCATCACTGTATAAAGCTCTATAGTAATCAGTAGATGAAGTCTAATTAATACACAAACTATAATGCTGTATCTAGATTCTTTAAAATTATGTAGATTACCACCTTATCTACCACAGTTAATTATCAGAGTTAATAATCATGTATTCTAGCATCACCTGTTTAAACACTTGTTAATTTAACCCACAAATTAACTTAACATTTTAATATTTACATTTTTTCTTCTTTATTCTTAGTCTCTGAAAAATTTTTCCCAGCTGGTTAAATTTTATGTTTTTTAAAAAGTTTCCATAAAATATTAATGGCTTGTTTTAATTTATACGAGTTATTCTGTTTTTAAAATAATCTCAAATATTTTTCATGTGTTTTTAAAATCTTGAAAAGTTTATTATTAACACTAAGAATACACCTGTTTATGGTTATATTAAAAAATAAAATAAAAGAATTGGAAATATTGAATAAAATGCTATAAAAAAAAGTCTGTTCATTGATGTGTTTTAAAAATTTATCCCCACAAAATTAATTAATACATTTTTTAATTAAACTTCCCTACTGATTATTTTTTATTTCCCTAAACATTGAATTAAATATATTAAATTTCCCTAATAGCCAGTCTTAAAAACTTCCCTAAATAAATTTCCTAAAAACACTTAAAACTTTCCCTAAACATTTCCCTAAAATTACCTGAAAAACACATCATTAAAATAATTAAATTAGTCACTTATAAAGATTTACTTCACACTTAAATACTAAAAATTCACTACTAATGTTCTACGAGTTACTACAGAACTTACTAACAACACACTACACACTTATATACTTTTAATTCACTACATAAATACTATTACTTGACTACACACTACACTTACAAACTACAGCGAGTGTACATCATGCAGAACACTTATATAGAACACTGAAGAACACTATCACTACTTAAGAACACAGGGGCTACTTAAGAACATAGGAGGCTACTTCAGAACATAGGAGCTACTTAAGAACACAAGGGCTACGAAAGAACACAGGGGCTGTAAGAACACAGGGGCTACTTAAGAATACAGGGGCTACTTAAGAACACAAGGGCTACTTAAGAACACAGGGGCTACTTAAGAACATAGGGTATTGAATACAGGGGCTACTTAAGAACACAGGGGCTACTTAAGAACACAGGGGCTACTTAAGAACACAGGGGCTAGTTAAGAACACTACCTACAGAACACTACTGAAGAACACTAATGAATAACATTGAGCTAAAATAACATTTATATGGGAGAATCTGGAGGGAAAAAGAAAGGGAAGGAAGGGAGGGAGGGAGGGAGGGAGGGAGGAGGAGGGAGGGAGGGAGGGCTGGAGGAGGAGAAAAAGGGAGGAGGGGCAAGAGGAGGGAGGAGGAGGGCTGGAGGGAGGGAGGGACAAGAAGGAGGGAGGAGGAGGAGGAGAGAGGCTGGGAGGGAGAATCGGAAGGAGGAGAAAAGGGAGGAGGAGGGAGGAGTAAGGAGGTTAGTTTATATATATATATATAGTTAGCGTCAGGTGTTAAATTACTGAACAGGTGGTTGAACATATAATTAATTATCGAGAGTGGTAGTTAAGTATGGCAGGTAAACTCTTATGACATTAGGTGGTTGATGGCAGTTAGGTACCCAATTACAGGAGTGTTTAAATAGGAAAAAAATAAATAAATACGACACATAGTACAGGGTGAGTCAAAACATCGAGACTTACGGAGGATTATCTACAGGGTGGGTCATGACATACAGGTAACTATGACAGGTAAAATACAGGGTGATTCAGAATATTAGGGCCTTATGGCGAGGATCTACAGGGTGAGTCATGAGATATTAATACGAGTAAAATACAGGGTGAGGCCGAACATCAGAGCCTTATGGCGACGATCTACAGGGTGAGTCATGAAATTAAAGAGTAATAGACGAGTGAAATACAGGGTGATGCACAACACTGATGGCCATTTAGCGAGTTATACAGGGTGGGTGTGAACATTTAAAGCGCTACAGCGACTCTACAGGATTTATACAGCAAGTGAGAGGCAGAAGATATGTTTACGACAGTGCGGGCTATTATTATCGCCAGGCGTTCCTCTCCATTGAACGTTCGCCAGCCTTCCCTCCTCCACTCCACACAATGACACACTTAAGGAAGCTACGCCAGACTAACGTTCGCCAGCATCCTCCTTCACCACAATGACACACTTAAAGCTACGCCAGACTAACGTTCATCATCAGCCTCCTCCTCCACACCACAATGACACACTAATGGAAGTTACGCCAGACTAACGTTCTACCAGCCTTCCTCCTCCACCCCACAATGACACACTTATGGAAGCTACGCCAGACTAACGTCTGCCAGCCTTCCTCCTCCACCACAATGACACACACACCACGGAAGCTATGCCAGACTAACGTCTGCCAGCCTTCCCTCCACCACAATGACACACTAATGGAAGCATGCCAGGAGTAACGTTCACCAGCCTTCCTCCACCCCACAATGACACACTTATGGAAGCCACAGATCAACGTTCACCAGCCTTCCTCCACCCCCACAATGACACACTCTGGAAGCTACGCCAGACTAACGTTCACCAAAATTTCCCTCCACCCCACAAT